AATTTTGTTATGTGTTTCTGTTGAGTTAGGATGAAATAGGATTGTTGCTTTCCTCATTTTCTTTGAAGCCCAGAGAAAGGAATGGGCAATGTAGCACATGTTGAAGCTGGCATGTTGACCCGATTTCACCTTGCACTCAGCCTGCCACAACTAAATTCGGCATGGGTCCCGACCCAGGCAGTGGCAGTTGGCCGGGCAGGTGCTTGGGGATATGGCGCAAGCATCCGTGCCCCGTGATGTCATCACATACAATGCATCTTGGACTGTACTTGCTCCAACTCGCTTCCAGGATCTACGGTGGCATGTGTAGCTCAGAGCCCTTCAGTGAAGAGGGGATTGTGTGGGAATGTGAACAAGTTTTCGCGCAAAGGCTGGGGGGAAGAGGGCGAGAAGGCCAAAAGAAAGTGAGAGGAAGACAGTTCATGCAAGCGTCTACTCTAATCTATCACTTCCGATTCCCATCTGACTAGCCTGAACGAGCCTGAGGCCACTGTCAGCTCGCTTGAGACTTGCCTGTGTCAGCATTTCCGCGTTCTTCAAACTCTAGGATCTTTCTTTGAGTTAGGTTTGAGGTTTAAGTCGAGGGTTTCTGTGGTTTGGGGCATTTGCAGGTTCTTGACGTTATGAGTTTATAGGTATCTACAGTTGTAATCCCCTCCCGTCGGGTCTTGCTTTGGAGCTCCAGGGTCCGGAGTTTGCTTCTCAGCTTCTCACGTCATTAGGCTCCTGAGGCCGCCCCAGACGTTGAAGATAAGATTCTGCTGTGATATGTTCAATCCCCGTAGTGCCTGGATGCTGCAGTCAAGGCATTGACAGGTGACACGTTCTCCGAGCTCTGTAGTTTCAGCAGCTCTGGCGGAGCTCAATCTCACTCTAAAGGTCCGCGAGCCTCATCTTTACGCGAGGCTCTCCCGCTCTGCTCAGTCTCCTGGGCCAAAGTCTCCGGCCTCAAGCCCAACTGTGCCTCTTTCTTTGGTGGTTTCGGCAAGGAGAGCGCCAGCGAATGGGAGCTCGCGGTCAAGACCTTCTCCTCCATGATAGAGGAGCGGGGGTTACTTGTAGTTGGTAGTCGTTCTTGCCCTTTCGTTTCTCTGGCGCCAGCTTTCCCCATTTCTGCCCGGAGAGATGCTCCTCGAATTGCCCGCTTATCGTCTTATTTTATCGTGGTCTTGTGGGTTCGTCCGTGCATAAAGAGGCAAGGAAACCGAAAGGCGGCCTGTGACCACTTGAAGTCCCAGAGGATGGAGTGGTGCCCACCACCGTCAGCTTCAACGCATGCATTCGCGCGTTCGAGCCGCGGTGGCATCTGAAAGTTTGGATCGGGGGCACTAGGCTGCCGAGGTGGTGTTGCGGAGTTGCGGGTGTTTTGCGAACGACCCGTCCGACAAGAAAGCCGGGTTGAGATTTGAACAGTTCGATTCAGATTCAGTTATAGAAATGTACCAGACTCTTCCATCGCCTTAGGAAGCTGGGAGCTGCTGGAACTTGGCCTTGCAGCTCTTGGAGGAATGCAGTGGGGGAGCGGGGCCTTGCTCTTGTTCGTGTCCTTCAAGGGCCAGTGTATGCCTGGCCGCCAGACTGGTGGCCTTCTTCGTAGGAGTGCGGGGTCGGATTGCAGACTCGAGCATCGAAGGCTTTTGTCCCCCTTCCGAGACACGCAACCAACAAGTTTTGACTTTAGACCTCAAGTCAAAGAGCAAAGGCCGTAGCGCTGAGCCCGGAATTCATAAATCTCGTCGGCCATTTCGGATGCAGGACATGCCAGCCGCCAAGGTGCACGATGTCTTGCAGTCTAGTGTAGACAAAGACCCGCCACTTCAAAAAATACTCAGCCCGACAACCACAACCCCTTACAACCCCAAGCCCTCTGCACAACAAGATCCGAAATCCGATCCTGTAGTTACATACCTGTTGTTGGGAATTAGCTCTCAGGCCAGTGCCACGGCAACGGCCAGGAAGCCTTGCTATCCGCTATCAGTTTGTCAGCCTTCCTGCCTTGCCAGATCCCAGATCAGAAGCCCCAAAGCTTTTGCGGAGGTCTCTCCTGATGCTAGTACCGGGAATGCCGTCATCAGTGCTTGTGGAAAGCACCTTGTCAAAACCTGGCATGTTGTGGAACCCGTACCGAGGGCACGGTTGGAGTGACGCTCAAAAGCATGATGCCAGTCACAGATCTCCGTTCCATCATCGCAGGATGTCCTGCGACTTGTATTGCTTGGACAATTGCCGAGGCATCCATGTTGGGTAGAAAATGGAGGTTTTTTGTCGTCGTGGGACCTTCGTTTTACATGGGGCAACCGAGCGCAGAGACGGACGGAGAGTCCCGCGCTGGATTGATGTGCAGATTTTGTGGTCTTTGCGTGCGGGAATAGCAGGCCTGGATCTGAAATAAGATATGGTTGCGCGCGGGTGAACCATGGATCCACCGAAGAGCGTGCAGTCATGAAGCCAGCCCAGGAATGCCCAGTGGTGGCTGTCGATGCAGCTGTTGCGCAGCATGCCGGAGATGAAGATCACACCGGACTCTCGGCGCCAAGCTCCTTTCCAAGGTGAAGTCCCCCCACTCTTTTGATTCCCCCCCCCCTTTCCCCCCCCCGCCGACGTCAGTTCCTTTTGGTACTCGCAGCCGATCCCATCAGTGGTGTCTGTTGCAAGATGCCGTGGATTGGAGCAAACAAGCCAACAAGGGAATCTTCGCTAGGGTTCGAAAAGCAATCATACACAACCCTTTCTTGTCAATGGCGAGAGACACAGATGAGCCAGCGTTGGACTTTTTGGGGCCTCGGATCGCGAAAAGTCGGGACTAACTAGCCTGAAGCTGCTAAAGGACACCGTCAGCTTCAACACCACCATGAGCATCCTCGAGGTCGGGTGTGTCGCTGGCGGAGACAGGTTGAGGGTTCGGTTAGGGCTCGGTTGAGTTGTTGCGTTTTTTCGGTTCGCTCTCCTGCGTTCGCAATTCCTTGTCCTCATGATTGGTTCTCGCTTGAGTAGTCTCGCATCGCATGGCTTCCCATTCTTTGTGCCCGTTGTTTCTGTTTGCTGCGTGGTCATGAGGCCATTCAGCTCTTGTACAGTCTTGAGAAAGTCTGAAGCTCCGTCTATAACTCGTAGGTCGTAGGAAACAATTTCAGGGCATCGGGCAATTGACTGGGCATCTGACCGGTGTCCCATGTGCACAGGAGACAAAGGTCAGGTGAACACCAGGCGAGTAGAATTCCCAGTGGCCGAGTCTTCGTCTTCGGCTTTCTGAGAGCGTCCGAGAACCTGCGCGGGCGTAATCACATATGCATGCATGTAGGTACGCGCGTAGGTACCTAAGCATGTATGCATGCATGCATGTATACATTAGCATGCAGGATCATGCAGGTGCATATGTCTGTATGCACGTCATACACACGTACATGCATGTAGGTAGGTAGCTATGTATCTAATTATGCACCTATGTAGCTAATGTGGCTAATGTATGTATGTACGTATGTACGT